TCTATCTATCTATCTATCTATCTATCTATCTATCTATCTATCTATCTTTACTGCCAACATTCTCCTGGTGAAATTATATAGCTGTAAATTATAGAATACCAAGTATTTTCCAACGGACAAACAAAAGGCATTTGGATTTAAATAGCAGCATGTTATCAATAATGGCATATGAGAAATGATATAAAGGACATCCTCAAAGAAATATGTGATCAGAAAAAGTGGGGATTTTCCCAAATTTAAAAGTTTACAACATAGATAAATTTGTAATAATGTTGATATAGTCATATGAATAAATAACCACTAACTTTTAATGTGCCATATCAATGCCCTATAAGAACTTCTGGCCTTATTCTTACATACACTTCAGAATAAGAGAGAGTTGTTGTATCCAATTGTTGTATTCAATGTCATATGTTGTTGTATTCAATTTCTATACCCCTACCCAATTATTAATTGGTTTTGTGCAAAGACAGAAAAGTGTCATTAATGGAATACAGCAGAGTTGGTAATGAGCCCCATGGTATTAATGTTACTTTTTGGATATATTCATGTCTCCTCCTTTTGGACTAACATTGAAGGGCAGAATTTTCCCCATATTGTGTAAGCCAAAGTGATATGATATTATATTACCAGTTCTATGTTTGTGTTAATTTCATATTTTGGTTTGAACACAGATGTCACTTCATAAGCCTTTAAATATTCAGCAGGGGAAAATTTATCTAAAATCACTTGGTGGATTATATTACTGAGAGTTTTCACAAGATAATTGACAGTCTGGTGGACAAATTTGCCTGTCACTTTTCTCATTTGTTTTAAACAAGAATTTGGAAATCTGAGATCCTGAAGAGTCCTATGGTCAGTATTGAGGATTAAAGGCAAAGCGTCTATGTAATATGATATCACAGTAGAAACCCCCACAAAAAAGTCACATTTTGGTAGAAATCCCTCCATTTTCAGGAAAAAAAAATTGTTGACGGAACTTTCAGACAATTTTTCATTATTTTTACAAAAAATCAATGCCTTTTGTTTTATCATGTATTTGCTTAGATAATGTATAAAAATTTTCTTGAAATATGCTTTCATCTCTGGATGATTAATCACAAATATATTGGCATCTGTAATTACCAGTGCCAAGCCTTCAGGAAAGAATTTGGGGAATTTACTAGGATGTCTCTAATTGTTATTGCCACCCATTACAAAAAAATTTATTTATCTATATGCACACTGTTTCCACCTAGTACAAAGTAAACTCCTTAAGGTCAAGAACTGTTTTCATTTTTGTCTTTGAATCCCCATTGTCTAGCTTAGTGATGATCAAAGAGGAGGCATTGAATATATGTTTAATGAATTGAATTGATATTGAAAGCAGAGGAATTACATTTTTTCAAAACAAATTTCTAACATATATATGCATATATACACACACATATATCTATATATAAATGTCTGTATATACTGTGGATATATGTGTGTGTATAAACCATTTATAAATGGAAGAGAAAACACATACAAATATACTCATACCCGTGTTAGGTAAGCACTGGCTAAACACAAATACAGAATGAGAATGATGAGAAAGTATTTCTGAATCATAAATAGACCAAACTTTAGTGATACAGTACAAAAGGAATGTATTAATAGAGTATATGGCATAGAAGAAACAGAAGGCAATCCTTCTGCTGTATAAATCCTATCTTTGATACTAGCTGGTTGACAAGGGACAATTCATTCAAACTTTTTGAGTATCAGGATCTATTGAGTTAAGTTACATAAAGAGCTTTGTAAATTATTGCTTTATAAAGCTAATTTATTATTATTATCATTATTCATTAGCACAAGGCATTTTGAGATTAGGTATCATGTGAAATGCGGAATTATGGACTTAGTCAACCTGTGTTTGAAGCCTATCTCTGCTATTTTCTATTCATGAGATTTGAGGCAAATCAAGTCATGTAAACTCTCTTGGTCTCAAGTTCTTCATCTTCAAATTAATGTAGTTGAATTAATTTACTTCTGAGGTCCCTTCCAACTCTAGATCTCTGATCCTATGATGTTTTGACACCTCATTTTGAAATTCAAAGAAATAAGGAACAGGTTAAAATATTAAAATTACAAGCTTCCTATATTTCTCCTCTCTTTTGAAGCCAAACTCCTAGAAAAAAATGAGACAT